TACAGATGGTTTGACGGGAGATTGAAAACAGAGGTAGAAAGGATTAGTGAACTAGAACAGCATCTCACCACCTTTAACGTATACACAATCACCTGGAGATGCAGACTGTGATTGAACAGGTCTAGGGCGGGACCCGAATCTGCATTTCTAGCAGCCTCACAGGTGAGACTAGCGCAGCTGCTCAGGAACCACACAGTGTAGCTGCTGCTGTTGGCCCAGGGATAATTATGAATACCAGGAATCTAGAAAACAGGTGAAGAGAAAATATCCAGATAGAAACATGGAGAACAAAGAAGGCAAAGTATCGAAAAGAATATATTAAACAATGGGGAACATAAAATATCTAACATGTATAACTGAAATCACAGAAGCGATGAGGTGAAATGGAGTAGAAGAAATATTTGAAGAATGAACACCCAAGGTTTCCAAACTTTAGGAAAGAGAAGAGGGCACAGAGTAAAAAAGCACCAAGAATCCCAAGCAGGATGAACACAAAGAAAAGTACTGCCAGCAGGAGGCTCAGGTAGAGCCTGAGCTACAGACCTGCTTTTGTCTAATGGAGTAAATTCTAGTGCAATCCAGGGAAGACCCACGAAATTCTTGAGAAAATTGTTTCAGAAAAACAAACAAAAACAAAACAAAACAAAGCCCCAAACCCAAATCTAAAAATGCCCACTGCCAGTGTAGACTAAAAGAAACATTACAAAACAAAAAGAGGCTGTCGACTCTTAACATTCTAGTGGTAGGATTGGGCTGAGAAAATTACTCAGCTGTAAAAACATATGCATCTTTCATGGAAAGGGGAAGATGACTCAACAGAGCGGAACCAAGCAACCAAAGGTAGAGCAAATATCAAATTCACAGTCCCAGGGATTATGTAGCTTATGTATCCTGGGGGTAAGAAGGGGATGAAGGAATTTTGGGGCTCGGCTTAGAATTCTGCTTACCACATTGGGCAATTCCATCAGATATTTAAGGAAGAAATAATATTAATTCTATACAAATTCTTCCAGAAAAATGTTGAGGAAGGAATACTTCCCAATTCATTCTATGACACCAATGTTACTGATACCAAAATTAAGATGACACTATAAGAAAACTACAGATCAGTATCTTCCATGAGCAAAAATGCAAAAAGTCTTCACAAAATATTACCAAATCAACAGATACACTGTATCAACAGTAATACATAAGTAAAGTTTATTCCATGAATGCAAGGTTGATTTAACATTTGAAAATCATTCATTGTAATTCATAATATTAATAGACTAGGAAAAAAACCCAAATCATACCATTATTTCAACAGATGAGAAAGCATGTGATAAAACTCAATTCCATTCTCTATTCATAATTAATATACACCCACACACAAACTCTGTGAAAATTAGGAACAGAAAGTAACTTTCCTAATCACAAAACTACAGCTAACTTTTACACTTAATGGTAAATTTCTGAAAACTCTTCCCTTGAGTTTGGGAAAAAGACAAAGATGCTCAATTCTATTTAATGGTGTACTGGAAGTTCTAGACAGTACTGCAACACACGAAAAGGAAATAAAAGTCATGAGGATTGGCAAGGAAAAAACAAAACTGTAACTATCAGATGCCATAACTGATATATATAAAATCTGGGAAAAAAAAAAAAAAACCCTACTAGAATTAGTAAGTTAATTAGATAGGTAAAAATAAATATATTTAATACAATAACATTTTGAAGTAGCAGCAATAAAAATATGAAAATACATCATTTAAATAGTATCAAAGGGAACACACATGTAGGAATAAATTTAATAAATGATATGTAAGACTTGTATACAGAAAATTAAAATATTATTGATAAAAGTTAGAGAAGATCAAAATGGACAGAAAACTTGATATTATTACAAAGTCAATTTTCCCCCAAATGATCTACAAAATCAAATGACCTTAATCAAAAGTCCAGCATAACTTTTGGTGAAACTTGACAAATGAAGAAAAGCAGAGGAGCAAAAATAGTTAGGACAATTTTCAAGAAAAAACAACAGAGTTGAAATACTTATATTGCCGATGTCAAGACTTATTATAGAACTATGGTAATTGACGATGAATGTTGGTAGACAGATTGAGCAGCAGACCAAAGAAGAGAATAAAGTTAGAGGACAGACCCACATATGCACAGACACCTCATTTATGATAAAGGTGACCTGTCAAAAATGAGATTTTCAATAAATGGCATTGATTGAAACAGATATTTTCATGGAAAAAGAAGCAAACAAACTTGAATTTCGCCCTGCACCCCAAACATATCTCATACTTAAAAATAAGTTGTAGTTGATTTTAGATCTAAAGGTAAAAGACAAAATGGTAAAATTTCTACAATAGTACATTGATGGGTATCTTCATAATGGTGTAGGAAAGGTAAACATTTCTTAAACAGGACACAAAAAGCACTAACAGAAAAAGGAAAATATTGGTAAGTTCTACTATATTAAAATAAAGCATGTTTGTTCTTCGAAAGGCACCATGAAAAGAATGAAAAGGTGGGTGACTGGAAGATATTTAAATTACCATGACCTACCAAGGATCTAGGTATCTAGAATACCTAAATAACTCCTGTAAATCAGGGGGGGTAGGAAAAAATTAAGTTTGTAAGCCAACAGACAAATGGGCAAAAGACTTGAACAGGTACTTCACAAGAAAGGATATCCAAATAGCCAATAAACATATAAAAGATACTCGATATCATTAGTTAACAGGGAAATATAAAACCACAATTAGAATTACATTACATTCCCATCAGAATGGCTAACATTAAAGACAAAACAATGTCAAGTGCTGGCAAGGATATGAAGCTTCTGGCATTTTTATACATTGCTGTTGGGATTGTAAATTTATTCAACTACTTGGGAAGACTATTTGGCAGTATCTAGTAAAGCAGATCAATTTCATTTTGTACGACACAGCAATTGCACTCCTAGCTAACCACCCAGCAGAAAGGTTTCCACACGAGTGGAACAAAAGATAAAAACAAGAATGTTGACAGCTATATTAGTTGCAATATTAATATCAGGATGTTGAAAATACCCAATTCCCCTTGAACAGTAGGATGAACTGTGATATATGCATGCTATGGAACACTATATAACAACGAAAATGAACGAAAGTATGGTTACTTTTAAAAACATATAGTTTTATCACCATAATGTCAAGCAAAACCAAACCAAACCAAACCAATCTTCAAATTCAAACATTCAAACATAGATAAACCCTTTCATTTATATCAAGTTTAAAAACAAGTAAAACTAATGTATAGGGTTAGAATGAGGGACAGTGGTTTCCTTTGGAGAACGGCAGAGGATGGTAAATGGAGGGTGTGACAGGGATCTTTGTGGTACTGGCCTTGTTTTATTTCTTCATCTGACTGGTAGTTACATGGAAGTATTCACTTTATGGAAATGGTCAGCCATATACTTTTTTGTAACTATGCTATAGTACAAAAAACTTTTTTGTTAAAGAAGTAGAATTAAAAAAAGAATGACTCCAATTATGAAAACAGTAAACACATCAGTAGTTGGCAAGAGCTGGAGATGCAGGGAGCAGATGATTACAAAAAGGTAAGAAGGAATTTTGGGGTTGATGGAACTGTTCTATACCTTGATTGTGATACAGTAGGTTACACTACTGTATGCATTTGCCAAAACGCATACAACTGCATACCAAAAAGAGTGCATTTTGCTATATGAAAGTTATACCTCAATAATAAATACTCTGGATATAAAACAGAATGAATTAATTTGGCTTCTTTTTATGTTTGGGGAAAGTTAATTATCTGTGCTGTTATAGTATACTTTCCTCATTGATTAAATTAGAAAGAAAATTAAATGGTCTATCTCCAAAATATCTTCTTACCCTTGTACTGACAGAAACTTGTAAAACTAAAACAAACAAATGAAATCGGGGAAAACAAAGAATGCTATTCATTTTGGTTTTATGACATTCATTTTTGGTTTTGGGAAAGACAGACTTGAGAAATATACAAATATATGTTGTGTTTAATATTCAGATATGGCATAAGAAAAATAATCGTAAGTTCTGAGTTATTCCTTTTCATATTTATTCATAAAAAATTTGGGGAAAGTTAATGATAGGGTATAATATTTTTTACTTATTAGAAACAGTAGAAAATTTTCAGTTAAAAAAATTCTATGTCCTCTTAAGGTTTATTTTACATTTTCCCACATTCAGCCAATGAATCTGGAAACTAAAATACCAGTTTCGAGACCATTAATTTCTGGGGCATTATGGGAAAACAGTTGGCCTTTACTGGATCTCAAATTTACTCATATTTATTTTGAGACATCTTATTCTAATATATCTATAAATAGGAAAGGATGAAATTAAATGGAGGCTCCTTGTGAAAGCAACATACACCTAAAAAAAAAATTTAGCTAGAAAGATAGATAGCATCAAATCTATCCCATGGAGAAGTAGGAAAACCATGGGGCCCCCAATAAGTAACATATTATTTAAAAACTAGGGTAAATATAAAGCTTCATTTACTCACAAATACTTAAATGTTGCCTTATTTTGAAATATCTAAAGGTTTAACTTACACACACAGGTAAATACTAGACATTAGTTAAAAATTTTGGCCAAGTGTGGTGGCTCATGCCTGTAATCCCAGCACTGTGGGAGGCCAAGGCAGGAGGATTGCTTGAAGCCAGGAGTTCAAGACCAGCCTGGGCAACACAGTGAGACCTTGTCTCTACCAAAAAAAAAAAAAAAATCTTTCTCAAAGTCATCTGAATCTCACTCCTCAAAAGAAGAAAAAGGAGATTATATTTTAGTTGCCTAAGGCCATTTAACTCATCCAAGGTCCCCCTGACCCCAACTTGGAAATCTCCCCATATTTTGTAACTTAAGGGTTATACCATGAGCAAGTTGTGTGAAGGTAGACAACACAGCTACATTCTTACAGCTATTGGCAAAAAAGAATAAGACCTTACAAGGAAAATATCTTACCACTTGTGCTGGAACTTGTTCCATTTTTGCAGCAGGAGTTCCTGGTCTTGGGTAAAACTGGTTAATAAAGAGGCTTGGAAATTTGTACTCCTCAACAAGTTTCACTGTTTCTTGAAAATCCTGATCTGTTTCTCCAGGAAAACCACAGATAATATCTGTAGCAATAGTTATTCCAGGAACTCTAGAAAATAACAAGACAAAAATGTATAAAGTTGATTGCAAGCCATAATTATTCTATTTCCCTGACATTTTAAATACCTTTTTTTTGGGTAATTAAAATTTATTTTCAGGAAAGGGACACTTGCAAATAGTTTCAAAGAACTCTAAATACTAAAAGATTAAAATGAGAAATAGTGGCCCCCTGCCACTCCCAGACACATCTATTATTAATCCTTTTAAATGTTTCTTTGTTCTTTCCTCTATATTTAAAAATAGATGCTTATTCTGCTATTTCTAGATTTATTGATTTCTAGGCAATAGTTACTGACTTCTCTATTATGGGAAGTGAGGTTTTAGCTCTTAAACTATTCTATCTTTACCCTCCCCCAAAGTAACCACTAAACAACTTCCAGTTAAACTAATAATACAGTACTTCTACTGGTATAATTACAAAGATAATGTTCACTGTAGAGCCAACTGGTATACCATCAAGTTTTGTTTTTCCACAATGTTTAATTTGTCCTAGAGTTAACAATTATCTTTTTTTAAAAAATGCTTAATGTTCTATGTACCTATGCTAATGTTTCCTAGAAGCTGCATCAGACCTATCAAAAACGAACACTATTTTCTAAATATTCGATATATTATATAATTCACCAGTCCCCTTTTTCCCCTAGAAATGTCACCCCTTTCTTCAAGTGTCTGTTGCTTTTACAATGAACTGGCTGCCATCCTTGAACGTGGCTCCTTGGTATCCCTTTTTCAACTTCCTTTTTTCCTGGATTCCACATTTTTGTAATTCTTGATGAACTCCCTCATTTGGCTACAGTGTGCTTTCAGAAGATTCATCAAAAAGAGTACCAGGGAAATGGTGTTGTTGTCTTAACACGTCTGAACATGTTTTAGGCCTCACAACTGATTGATGGTAAGGTTGTGCATAGCACTCCCAGTTGAAAAGTGTTATCCATCAGAATTTGGCATTGCTCTTTTAAGCTGGCAAAATTGCTGATGGGATGTCTAGATTCACTCTGATACACATTTCTTTACATGTGCATACATCACTCTATTTTTGAAAGCTTTTAGGATATCAACTTCATTCTCAATGTTTTAAAGTTTCATGATAATTTGCCTTGGACTGTGCCTTTAAATCTTTGTACATGGTACAATTTGGAGACTCATGGTCTTTAGATCTAGGAAATTTTCTTACGTAATTTCTTTAATAATTTTTCTCTCTCAGGGATTCCTCTACTTTGAATGTTGAAACTACTGGATTGACCATCTCTTCTATTGAAAAAAATTAATTCAGTATTATAGTTTAAATTTCTCATTCTCATTCTCTAAATCTCCTTTTTATAGCATCCTGTTTTTGTTTTAGAGATGCAACATCTCTTCTTATTTATCTGAAAGTATTGAAGTTTTTTGCAATTTTTCTTCCACTGACTGCAGTTGTGAATTTTGGTCTCTCTCATTCATGGTTGAGACTTTCCACCAATTAATAGTAAACTTGCTGTCCTTTCATATTTAAGAGCAAAGCACTAAATACTTTTTACCATAGAGTGATTAGGTAGCAAGATGCCTTGTTTCTGATAGGCCCAAATTTAGCATCCTGGAAGTCATTTTTCTGTGGTCATTCAGTTTCTCCATAAGTACGCTACAGTGTCCTATTGTGTTTTAAGAGTATAACAACAACAGAACGACATTCACGGTATTAAAAAAAATCCAGTATTATTCTGAATCCATGAACAACAGGGACAATAGCTGTAAACATTTCAAATCACTGAATAAATAGCTATACCAATTTTCCTATCACCTAAATGCAGTTCTATATGGGTAAATAAAACAGTTTATCTAATTAAGATTTGTGAGGTATTTTGGGGCATAAGAGAGAACAAGAGATGTACCAATGAGCACAAATTATTGGATTCCTAATAGAAACAGCTTCATAAAAACAACAGCTTTCCCCACTTTGTATGTATACTACTTTAATGCCTGTGTGAAAGAAGTATGACAAATTTATTTAAAAAAAAATTTTGTTCCTGATTTCTACTTGGTCTCATCTAGCTATTAATTTGGCTGAACTTTAATTAGTAAGATACATTCCAAAGACTGGAACTTTTGATGATAAATAGAAAAAGGGACAAAATAAAACAATATATTTGAAAAAGAATTTTCAATTTTTGTTGTACTATAAACACATTTTTTCTTCTTTAAGGGTAATTATCACAATTATATTTGAAAAGTCATAAAAATCATATACTTTTACAGTAAGCTATAGATAAAAAGGCCATTTTTATAGACTACCTAAAGCATGTGAAACAGAAAAATTATGTGAATGATTTCCAATTAGCTAGTTTTACACTTGCCTTTTAACTACTCCTGATCAAAAGAAATCTACAACAAAAAATAAAAGTAATGGATCGCAGCAGATAATGACAGAGAAAAGTCTATTTCCCCTAGGAAATTAAAAAAAATAAATCTTAGAAACTAAACTGCCTGTGAAATACTGCAAAAACAAAGGTTACTGTCCTAAGCTATAAATTGGAATGAGTTTGGCACTAGATTATGGGGTATTCCCAAAGGAAAGTACCTTACTGATTTCCCCCCATCCTTCTTGATCCATGATGGTTGAGTTCAGTATTATGTAACACCTGCTTACTTTGGCTTTAAGGTCCACAGTGAAAAAGAAAAGACAAACCTTTAAAAAATTCATAATAAATATTAAGGAAAGGGATGTTCAATGCATGGATATATGTGATAATCTATACAAAAAGTTGACTGATAACAGGAGAGAGGGCAGGCCACTATCGATTAGTGACTTATACTAATCAATATTTAAAAGTAAAAGCAGTTCAATTAGTTTCAAAGTATATAGGAATATAAACTGATTGCTTATAAAATGTTTTTAAAGACTACACTTTCTGTTAGATGAAGCTCATCTATACATTAATTTTACATATGCAAATGATGCTACTTACATTCTTGAAAATAATTTGGCTCCTTAGGTGAACCAACTGAAATCTCATTTACACTGTTAATTTGCCTAGCAAATAATTCTTTTCAGTATATCAGAAAATCAAATAAGTCTGAAGTGGAACAAATTCTAAATTAATAGCATACGACTTAAGTAGCTACGAGTAAATTATAAAGGGTGCAAAATAGAATATTAATCCAAATACTTAAGATGTTAATTCTGGGTAAATGCTGTTTTTGAGATGCCACGAATTTTCAAAATATTAAATTTTTAAATAATCATTTCCACAAATTTATTGAAGCTGTGAGTGTAATGTATGTAATTACTAAGTAATATGTGTTCTTAAATTTTAAAAACTTTCTATGTTTCCATTTCCATACTAGTTTTAGAAAGTAATTCTGAAAGAAAGATGAAAATGAAAATGTTTAGTTAAATAACAGGAAAATTTTGACCCATTATCTTTTCTGTCTTATATTTACTGGCAAAATGGGTTTATTAACTCACTTGAGAATGGAATAAAAAAGATTCCAATTATATATCTGACCTTGTCAAAAACAGTGGTATGATCAGTTATGAAGATCTATCAAGGACATGTGGACCATACAAACTATTTGCTGGCCCTAGGCTAGGATTTAAGAAAGCCCTAAATATTATAAAAATTAATTATTTTATCTTGAATAAAAGTACACATAATCCACACTTTGAATATTTAAAACACTACGTAAGATGTGCTTTAATACATCTCAAGATTTTCACTTGCAATTTGGTGTTTCACTGGCAAAAACTGAAAAATGATGATTCTACTTCATTCTTCAGTTCAATAAATTATGAGCTTCAAATTCCACATGTAAATAAAGCAAGACTAAGACACATGCTATTTATCTCAAAAGAAAAAGAAAAAAAAATGATCAGCAAAGAATTGGACCCATCAAAATTAGTAGGATAAACAAAACACATGATTAAAACACTATTTATTTTATGGAGATGTATTCCAGAACAATTTTTCAATACTTTTGGGAAAAGTAAACTGGAGGTAGAGAGGGGAGAAATATATCTTTAATTGAATGAAAATGAAATCATAAAGTATCTAAATATATGGTATGCAGCTAAAACAGTGCTTAAGGAGAAATATATAGATTTAAATGTCTATCAGAAAGATATAAATTGAAAAATCTAAGCTTACATCTCAACAAGCTAACAAAGAGGGGTAAATAAAATCTAAAGTAAGACAAAGAAAGAAAATAATAAAAGAGAAGAAATCAGTGAAATAGAAAATAGAGAAAAATCAATAAAAGTAAATGGTGAACCTTTAAAAAAAACAAAAAAACAAAAAAACCTCAATATAATTACCAAAATACTAGAGCTAGGCTGAGTAGAGAAACGAAGATATAAATGACCAGGCATTTACACCAGGCATGAAGACATACAGATGCTACCAATATTAAAAGGACACTTAAGAATATATTATGAACAACTTTATGCCAAAAATTTCACAACATAGATGAAATGGGCAAATTCTTTGAAAGACACAAATTATAAAAAAGAACTCAAGAAGACACAAAATTTCAATATTCTTTTATGGATTACAAAAATTTCTAATTTAAAATCTTGCCACTAAAACAAAACAACCCAGGCCAAGATAGCTTCATGGTGAACTCTATCAAACATTTAAGAAAGAATGAAATCAATTCTATGGAAACTATTTCAAAGATAGATAAGAAAGGAACTCATTTAATAGTCCAGCATTACCGTGTTATAAAAATCAGAAGAAGAGATTAGATGTAAACTCTAGACCAATATCCCTCATAAATACAGAGAAAAAAAATCTTGACAAAATACTAGCAAACTGAACCCAGGATAATAAAAAAGAATTAGGTATCATGACTATGTTTTTAACCCCAGAAATGCAAGGTTGGTTTGACATGCAAGTATCGATAAATGTAATATACCACATGAAAATAATAAATAACAAAATAAAAACCTCATGGTAATCTTAATAGATGCAGCAAAGTCAGCTGACAAATCAAACACCCATTTATAACTTAAAATAA